CAAGTAGTAAGCATATATATATTTCTACGAGCTGGGTAGTTAGAAGTGTTAGGAACGTTAGATCTCGGCCAATCGCGGTTCGTTAGTAACGTCTTTCCATCTTTGACTTTTCTTTTTTTAGTGGCAAGCGCGACCATCAGATGGACAGATCAGGCACGTGAAAGTGTCATGTATACGAAACATTATGAAATCTCTGTGAAAACATCTGTCACGATCAAGCTGGCTGTTCGTACACTGTATTCCGTACGAATATGTATCGCGAAATATGCAAAATTTCAAAATGTTTCACCTTACACGTACAACATGGACGAAGTTCTTCCTCTTACAGCGAATTTCTACAGTTTCAAGCCTTATACCACGTGGTATCTACTTCGACGTGAATATTATTCGTGTTAATCGCAAAATCGCGAGAGAAAGGCGAGATTGGAAAATGAAGGGAGAACGTAGAAAATGAAAGTTAAGAAAAGATCAGATTGGCTACAGAGTATTTTCCCAATGTGTACATGTTATTCTACGGGGGAACGATACAATTTATCACAGATATTATTACTTTTCACGTAAAATACGCCACGTGATTGCGTGTGATTAATTAATTGTTTGCATCGTTCGACGGTACGATAATGATGAAAAGGATAAAAATTATTATAAACGCTGGGTCGTTAGTAACAAATGAAACGAGAGACTGAAATAAAAGATTAAAATAAATTTGGGGGAACTTAGAATCGCGTTCAACATGCGCATACGTTCGAAGATTCTTCGTCTAATTATACATAGTAAATGCTAACGAAACGGACAAACAAACTTCTGATTGAAAATGGGCCAGTTTATTCTGGTGTTTGGACGTGTGGCGAGCATTTTATAAATATATTTAAAAAATATATGACGTTGGCAGACGTTTCGCGGTCGTTTAGCTTTCTTTCTCTCACTTATCGTTTATTTCTCTTTCTTAAAAACGTGCTACCATAACGTTGCATGTTGGATCGAAACGAAAGATAAATATATGTGTTTCCACGGAATATCCCTTCGGCCAGATAATTAATGTCTTGCGGTTTGGCTCGACGTTAAACGAGCACTGCATTATACCACATAATACTCGGGCAACTTCAGGAGTCCTTTAATTTTATTATGCTAGTTTCGTGACAAGTGAGAGAGATAATCACGTGAAGGAACTAAGTTTTCAGCACGAGTTCACCCGATGAGAAATGTGCAAAGTCAAAGTTCCGCGCAACTATTACATTTGGAAAAATGAATCTCGTAATTACGCGGTCTTGTTAATGGGACGAAGATGATGTAACGCCGTTAACTTTTTAATAACACGTTTACGTAACGTGACGTTTTTACGTTAATAATTCATCAACACGGAAGAAATGTAATATATTTTAATCTAGAAGTTAATTACAAAGACTTGTGATGAGAATATTGAATGAAATGAAGATTTCGTTGAAATATATTCTTCTTCTTCTTCTTCAAAAAAAAAAAAAAAAAAAAAAGAAAAAAAGGAAAGGTTGCTGGAACAACGTCAAATTGTTCTTCTATTTTTTTCAAAACTTTCTTTTACATACGCGAAATCTTCTGTTCGATTTGATTACGACCTACCGCACGTTATCGATTACTTTCTGTGTAAACGGCTAGGAGTAAAGGTAGTGCTCACTTTAACCTCACTACTGATAAAATTGTCGACAAAATGTTTCTATCGGTAACTTCTAGACGGAAGTACTAAAGTACGTTTCCGTAAAAAGGAAACAAATGCGAAAATGCGAAAAAGTTATATTCCGGGAACGAGAATTTTTTATTAACAGCATCGTGTGCATCATAAATGTTCTTAAACGTTCTTCCCACAGAGATCACAACATCCTACGTCTCAACGCTAAATAAATGCTCACTCTCTTGTACCAAAATTCTAACAAAGTTTTGCAACTCGAAACAAACAATTCGACCCTGTGCAAAAATTTAATCAACAACGTCCACGCTGTCTCGTCCCGGCTCTCCACCGAATTAAACGGAGGGTCAGTTATTAGTTGGTAGGAATTTGCGCGCGTCTGTTCAACTGTACTCGTCGCGGCCAGTAGTACGTATCAATAATAAGTCGGCCGGGACGAAACTCACGGAGGCGGATCGCGATGCTCGTCACGTGCGCGGCCGTCGAATAGACGGGGCGCAAATTGGCAAACAGGTGGGACGAGCGAAGGAGCTAACGAAGAATCCACTCTCGTGTGAAAGCGAGTCGCAACGACGGTGCTACGACGACGCGGGGTCGTGTGTCACGAAAGAGGACAAATTCTCCCGGAGCTTCCTCTTTTTCTTTCCTTTCATTCGTCCTCGCTGGATCTTTCGAAAGGAAAGTAAAGCTCGAGAGAGAGAGAGAGAGAGAGAGA